AAACCCTATTGAGCATCTGTGGGGCATCCTGAAATGGAAGGTAGAAGTGTGCAAGGTCTCTAACATCCACCAGCTCTGTGATGTTGTCATGGAGGAGTGGAAGAGGACTCTAGTGGCAACCTGTGAAGCTCTGGTGAACTCTATACCCTAGAGGGTTAAGGCAGTGCTGGAAAATAATGGTGGCCACACAAAATATTGACACTTTGTGCCCAATTTGGACATTGTAACTTAGTGGTGTACTCACATTTGTTGCCAGCGGTTTCGACATTAATGGCTGTGTGTTGCGTTATTTTGTGGGGACAGCACATTTACACTGTTGCACAAACTGTATATTCACTGCTTTACATTGTAACCAAGTGTCATTTCTTCAGTGTTGTCACATGAAAATATATACTAAAATATTTATGAAATGTGAGGAGGTTAACTTACTTTTGTGATATACTTTACCTTTTCTAGCAAGTAAATTCTGCTGCTTTCCATATCATTTCATCAAATTACATGGAAGGAAGGAAGATGTGTTGAAAGCAAAGATGCCCAGAGCTTGAAACAACCAATCATACACATATTAAGATCTAGTTACAGACAGAACTGCATGCAAGAGTGCTGCTGAAGACCGTGAACCAAAAATGACATAAGAACCGGATTGAAAGGTGGTCTCTCATACACACTTATCAACTCTATTGGCTTTGCTTTTTACCTTGTAAGATATTTCAAAGTTTTCACCACCCCAAATTTGTAGACCTGGATCATAGAGACCCAGTTCAAAAAAAAAATCACGTTCAATGGCAAATAGTCCACCAGCCATTGCAGGTGATCTAGGAGACAGAAAAAGTAAATATTAATTTGCACATCATATAGGAATGCCTTTTATTTAAAGAAGCAACTGGTAAGAATTAAGCTGTTTGAAATTATAAAGCTTTAATGGTGGTTAATAAGATATTTACACCAAGTATTTGCAATTCTGCTTGTAAATAATAACAAGTTTTTTTGGAATACTGGATTCCAGCAAAGGTGCACAATGTATATGTGACTCTTTCTAAGTTGTTTTTCAAAAATGCCAAAGCAGCTGTAGAATGCAATACAAAATGAAAATAGTGGGATGGAAAGTGAGACTTCCACAATCTTTCCTTTAAGTGGGAGGAAAGGTCATATACCTCTAGTCTGTATAGCTATACAGAAATTGTGCATAGTACGGCAACAGCTTATGCCAAATTCAACAAAAACAAAAGAAAAAAATCCAACATTTGACCAAATAAACCAAAATAACAGAATAATCTATTTAGGTTTCTACTGTGTTGCAATAACATGTCTGAATAATGAGGTATGTGAATGTTTTTAAGTTTTATTTTTTTTAAATCTATTTTTATCTGCCAGAGAGCAAAACGAAAGCTTCATAATTTCTTGGAAATATTTCAGGATTTTGATAAAAATATTATAAAGCAAGAATAAAGTGAAAATTAGGATCAGTTCTTGAAAGTGCTATAGCTCATATTCCAACAAGACAAATATGCATTTTCTTTAGCTTAGAAAAAAGAGATCTCTGGTTGCAAGGTTAGTAAAACATAATTGAACGAAAGCAGAACCACAGCTTCAGTAGTTTAGTTGACAAAAACCCTATCAGAAAAAAACTCAGTCCTTTCTAGGCAAACATATTTTGGCTTTGAAAAATTTGTGTTTTTGCAAGAAAAATAACATTTGGGAATCAAAACAAAAAACACTGTACCTTCACTAAACAAAATAAAGTACTTGCATTCATTTAATCCAAATGGTCTTCCTCACCTTCCTTAGTTAGCTGGTTTTGGTGGGCAGGGCAAAGTGGAACCTTCTTTTACTGGCCCCACACTGGCTTTGAGGGGGAACTGACTAAAGACCTTGTAGTATCCTGCAGCCCATTAGCCCCAACCAAGATCACAAGATAGTGGCAAAAATTATGCCTATGTACCCTGATCCAGTCCCACCAACCCAGACACTGCTTTAAGTGGTATGCATACACTGGAGTAGCAGGGATGTTTGACATTCTTAGCAGAATATGATTCACAGCTGGCTAGATAGTTCAGTGAGTTAGGCGTCTGGTTATGGAGCCAGAGGTTGGGAGTTCGATTTCCTACTGTACCTGCCAGGAAAACAGCCAGCCTATGTCGCCTTGGGCAAGCAGCAGAGTCCTAGGATGATGCCCTCAGAAGAAGGGAATTGTAAACCACTTCTGAGTACTCTCTATCCAGAAAACCCTGAAAAGGGTTGTTGTTGTTGTTGTTGTTAAAAATAACCAGGCACAATCAATCAACATTATTTTAAAAATTGACTGATATTATATAATATTTACACATTTTAACAACCTAAATATGTTAAATATCAGTGCAGTATATATGCTGCTCCTAATACTGCCTTTCCCCCCCTAGCTCCAATGGTGTTATTTCCAAGATCTGCAACTGCTAATAATATTGTGTGAAATTTCTTGATATTGTTCCCAAAGCCCTGATGCCTATGGGGACCACTGAAGTGTGTTTTATCTATTATTATTATTATTATTATTATTATTATTATTATTATTATTATTATTATTATTATTATTATTATTATTATTATTATCATCATCATCATCGTCATCGTCGTCGTCGTCGTCGCCGTCGTCATCATCACAATTGCTAAGACTCCTCAAGGTACTGTGGTAGATCACATGTTTTGTTTAAACCAAGCCAATTAATAGCCATCATGTATTTTGCTTAGAGAACTGAGTATACAAGTACACTGCAGAGAAGCGCAGAGGAGTTAGTAAAGTTACATTAGAAGAGCTTCATCACAGGTTAGTGAAAAATATAAAGCTTCTGGCAGCACTGTTTTAAAGGCCAGGAGAGTCCATGCAAGTATTTATTAGTTCAGTACATCCTCAGGAAAAGGATAAATGTGTAAGTGGTTTAGTGATTACCGATACGGCTCAGTTTTTGTCTTTCTTATTTCCTTCTCACGTTTGGTCAAGGGCACCCTCTTCCAGAGCATACTCCAATCCCATGCTCCTCTAGCAAACCCATCTTCGTCACCACCCCCTTGGGGTACAATGCTATAAGTGTTGCCATCTATGACATCTATAAGCGGTACAGTGCATGTGGTTCTGAAGGGTTATGGGTGGTGGCGGTGAAGATGAAAGCAGGTACATGGCACATTTAAACGAGTCATGGTTCATGGAAAAGAAAGGGGGAAAAACAAAGGGTTTAGATAAGCATGAGGCACAAAGATTAATAGAATGAAACAGCATTCTTTACCGATATGGCTCAGTTTTACATTTTCTTTTTGCCTTTTCCTTGTGGCTTAATGGAATACGTTTCCATAGCAAGCTCCAGTCCCAGGCCCCTCTGGCAAAACCATCTTCATCCCCACCTTGCTGTGGTTCAATGGAATAGTCATTCCCATCTATGTAATCTATTAGAGGCACAGTGCATGTAGTTCTGAAACATTTATGGAAGGGGAAGAGACAAGGTTAAGCTGTCTAACCCAGTAATTCACCCACTACTTTTTTTTTACTTTATTCCAAGAGAACTAGAATAAATGTAACATATATACATATGTGTGCTACTATCTTTATAAAAGGAAGATGGAGGAGGCAGATTATGAATGAGCAGGATGCATTCCAATTAACTTAAGGGTACAATCATGCTGAAAGCAGAAACATCTACAGTGGTGCCTCGCATTATGACGTTAATTCGTTCCAGCGAAATCGCTGTAGAATGAAAACGTCGTAATGCGAAATTTAAAAGCCCATAGAAATGCATTAAAACCCGGTTAATGCGTTCTTATGGGTTGAAACCGTCCAGCAAAGATCCTCCACAGCGCGGCCATTTTTGCTGCCCATGCAGCGAGGAATCCGTCCCAGAAAAGAGAGGGGAGCCATTTTTTTTACCCAGTAGCCATTGTGAAACTGCCGATCAGCTGGCCGAAAATAGTCGTTTTGTGAGAATCGGTTCCCGAAGCAGGGAACCGATCATCGCAAAGCGAAATTCCACCATAGGAAACATAGTTTTGCGATCGTTTTTGTCTGCAAAAAGTTCGTTGTAATGCGGTTTCGTTGTTAAACGGGGCGCCCGTCTTGCGAGGCACCTGCAAAAAGTTTGCAAAAAGTTTGTTGTAATGCGGTTTCGTCATTAAACGGGGCGCCCGTCTTGCGAGGCACCACTGTACTTCCTTCATAGACTTTTGATAATGCATTAAGGGAAATGATAGAAACAATATAGTTCATCTTTGAGAAAGACAGTATACAATAATATTTCTGTATCTCCTAGTTTTGAAAGGGAGCTACTGTATACAGTATTATTCTAAGTTTTTTTTTTCTTTTCAACATTTTAGAATAATATACATTTGGTATCTCTTATTATGCCATGAATACACTTGTGGGTTATTAATTTGCCTATTTATCTGCCAAATTCACAAAAAATGTCATCTAGCATGTATTCCATGCCTTCAAATCTTGAGAATGTTTAACCTGTTTCAGTGCTATGAAGAAATTTCAGACAAACTACATTTCACAAAAAATGTCTAACGGGGGACAACAAAATTTTATCCACCAACCTGCAAAATTATCATGCAATTTGAAAAAATAATCTAGAAAATTACTCACCCAGAAAGCACTGATACTTATCACAGGTAAGCAGTTAACTATTAAGGCTATTGTTAAAGTATAGACACAAGTTGAATACTTTACCTGTCTTTAGATATGGGAGCTATTAGTGGTGCATACCAATTTACTGCCACCTCGCAATGGGCATCAAGGTAAATTAAAACCTTTAAAACAAAGAGGAGATTCCAATTTAGTTAAGATTTCCTTACACAAAATACATATTGATTTATTTGAGTGTATTTTCATTTTATGTTATCTTAAATTTACAACTATCTTTAAAAGACTATATGCCATTTTTCAATTAAGAACTGTAGTAAAATAATCAAGTGGTTTAAGATCTGTTAAAAGTACAATTCAGACTGTAGGGAAAGAAGGGTTTTATTTATCAAACAGTTTTCTACCTGTCCAAGTTTAGCCTTCTGGGCTCCAATGCTTCTAGCTTGAATTAAACCTTCTCTCCTCTCATTTCGAAAAATCTTTACAAGGCCATTCCACTGCTTAATATAATCCTCTAGTCTCTCTTTTAAGTGTGCTATCAAATAATAAAAAAGAAGTTTCCATATATGTTACAAAATATTTAGCTTTGAGCTTACAATACAAGCTAAATCTATAGTAAAAACAAACTACATTTAATTGAATAAATATCTAGAATCTCAGATGCTAAGGATCTTAAATAATCACTATCTGGCATATTTGTTCATAATAACTGTAAGCTCACTTAAGAACTACTGTACTCCTAACATTATTCAAAAATTTTAAACACATGTAGAGAAATAGCAAGACATGTGCCCTTATGATGTTGAAAAAGTCAAACTCGAGAACATGATGGGTGGCTCTGGAAATACAAGGTACAGGTTTTACAACTACATCTGACCCTGCTGGCAATACAAAAGCACAGTCCTCCAGTAATATTGAAGCTGCTAATTTGCATGGTTAATCCATTAAAAAGAAGGAGATAAAACATCAGAAACTGCCACATATTAATAGTTTTAGAAGAGATACCCGTGTGAGTCTGTGAAAGCATAGCAGGCAAAATCCAAAGAAACAAACAAACAAAAAAGCAAAAATATGTGGCACCTTAAAGACTATTATATTTTAATGTGAGCTTTCTGGCACCTTAAAGACTATTATATTTTAATGTGAGCTTTCGTGGAGAAGCGGACTTGATCCACAAAAGTTAAGTCTTTAGGGTGCCATATATTTTGCCTTGTTTTGTTTTGATTTGTTTCTTTGGATTTTGCCTGATGTGCCATATAAGTGTAGTAAGTGTTGCATCTTTTTTCCTGTATACCTTTCTGTTGTAGATCTCTCTTGCTTGACTTCAGAAGAGTGACAATCCAAAAATAAATAAAATCAAGACTTTTAACTCACATAATAAAATGTCAACATTTATAGATATTTCCAGGAGGTGGTGCTGGAGATGTAACATTCACTGCCCACAATAAAACTTAGGAGTGTGCGAATCTGAAGGCAGATCTGGATGCAAAAAAGATGCTGAAATACTTTCAAGAAAATGCTAACTCTTCATTAAAACGTATGACTACCACCACCAAATATGGTAGGAAAAGACTGTTTTGCATAAACATTTTCTCAACCTTATGCTGTTGTAATTCTCTGCACAAAGGGCACATATGCAACTCTGCTATATTCTGCCCTGGAAATCCAGAGACCTATTTGGAAAGTAATATACTGGAGATAATAATAAGGCATACTATAATTCCCTCCGAAATACAACTGATGGGGAAGGAAGCAATAGGCACAGTATTGGTTCACACAGCTTATGTACAACATAACTGATCTAGCCAGCAGCACCTCTTCGTGGATCTATATGCCTTAGTTGATACTGATTGCTAGATTCTCCCCACTAATATCTAATAATACGTATAGAATAGAGATGAGGGTATCTGTATATGAATACCCCTGCACAGGTGGACGTAATGAGGACATCACCTTCTGCTGTTGCTGCGGGCTCCACGCTGCCTTCCTATTGCTCCGGAGCTCACGGCAGATAAGCCATTCTTTGACCTGGCAGAGAGACTCGTCATTCCGCCTCCTGCTAGGAGTGGCTAATCCACCACAAGCTCCAGAGCTATAGGAAGGGAGCGCGGAGCTCATGGCAACAGCGGAAGGTGAGTCTGGCCCCAGGGGGCTGGACCTTCATTATGTCCACCTGTGTGGGGGTATTCATATGCAAATAAACCCATCTCTACCCTGAACCATTCATAAGACCTTTCACTTGGGCTGAATGCAGAGCAGAAAATACTGGTGATGGTTTCAAATGCTTATTTAATCAGATATAAATTTAGTGAATTTCCTCCTCTTCTTGTGTGGCCAGTTAACCCGAACACAACAGGGGAAACCTGAATTTCCAGGTGCAACTTCACAGCAGGTGAATTTGCATTTTTCTTTCACTCTAGAGCTCGCAGTCTGCAAGCCACTCCTGGCAGGCAGTGGGAGGACAAGCCTTGCTGCAAGGTTGAAGAGTGGCTCACAGACCACGAGTTCAGGAGTGATAGGAAAGGATCATGGAGCTTGCGGCAACAGTAGCCCCAGGGGACTGGACCTTCATTATGTCCACCTGTGTGGGGATATTCATATACAGTGGTGCCCCACTTGACGACGATAATCCATTCCAGGAAAATCGCTGTTAAGTGAAATTGTCGTCAAGCAAAAAAAAACAACCCACTGGAATGCATTGAAAACCGGTCATGCGTTCCAATGGGGAAATACCTCATCGTCCAGTGAAGATTGCCCATAGAGAATCGCCAATCAGCTGTTTAAAATTGCTATCTTCCGAAGCAAAGGTCCGGAAAACAGCCATTTTGTGAAGGGAGGGAAGCCATTTCACGAAGGGAAGCCATTTTGTGGAGCTGGAAAAATCGTTTAGCGAACAAAGGGTTTGCGAAGCAGGCTCCTAATCGATGTCAAGTGAAAAAAACCAATTGGAACTCATCGTAAAGCAATTTCAATGTCATGCAGGGTAAGCGTCAAGCGGGGCACCACTGTATGAATACGAATACCCCCATCTCTAGTATAGAATTACACATACATGCAACTATTGCATTGTCTTATATAGGTAAGCATTTTTTCCTCTCATTTTTTTTGTTAATTAATAGGTAGATTGAAAGCTAAAGGAATTCATCTAGATATATTTAGGAGCCTGTCCCACCACAACCCATATTCTAGAACTTTAGCTCATTCCAACTCCATTAATTCTCCTGAATCAAGGATGTATGGTCAGTGTCTTTAGGCAAGGTGTGTGTGTGTTTAAATATTCACAAATCCTTCTCAACATCCACACATCTTTCTAACAGTAATAAAAATGTAAACAATAAAATTAAACAAATTTTTAAAAATTGTCTGTCAAAGTTTCTCTAAACATTTAGGTGAGGATTCCTACATTTGTAATTTTTTGTTAAGTACCGAACTTGGAATGTGGCAAGTCCTTGCATAACAAAAACAGCAAAGTTTAGAGGTGATTTCATTATCTCAGCTCTCTTTACTAATCCAGAGGGGGCTGAGATAATAAAAAAATCAATCAAACTCTTGTCTTATCTTTGAGCAAATACAGCCTTGAATTAAGAATTAGGAACACGATAAATCATGATTATTCTTTGGGAAGAGGAAGAACTAAATTTGGACCTAAAATCTTTAAAAGAAAAAAAAATGAAAATATATCTGTTGTATTTAAGAGCACCTACCCTTACCCTTAGGTTTATTATGTGAGCATCCTAACATGGGGGGGGGACCTTAGAAAATTAACTAAATGCATATGAATGCTACAGCTAAAACAAACTGCATTAATCCATTCACATAATCAAAATGCTATATGGTCTGTCATTAGGCATTGTACAAAGTGTTCTATAGTATTAACAGACCAGTGCTCTTTTAAAAATTAAAAGCTGGCTTCCAACCAAAAGCAGAAAATTTACACACTGTTCCATTATTTTTCTGATTGGCTCAACTGTCCTATAAAATGATACCACCATTCTTTACTGTGCTTAGTCAACATACTAAATGTGCTTACCTTTATTACTAAAATCATCAATCAAAACAATTTCAGCCAGATACTTCCTTGGAGTTCTTTTAATTACACTGTGAACTGTCCTCATAAGTGTAGACCATCCTTCATTATGGAAGACAATGATAACACTGGAGGTGAGTAGGTTTTCATCATAGTGCCAGAACTTGCATCTGCAACAGGTAAGTGTGTTACATTCTAATGTTATCCATGTGATCAAAAGACATAGTTTCTCATAATCAAGTTCAATGAAAATAACCGAATCCAAGCAATCAGTGATTCCCCACTGTGGGTTTCCAGACACTGTTGAACCTCAGCTCCCAGAAATCCGAGCCAGTAAGGCCAAATATCAGGAATTCTGGGAGTTACAGTAAAGCAACATCTGAGGGTCAGAGACTTAGAACAGTGCAGTAGTTTTATTTTACAGAAGCTTGAGACTGGATAGAAAAGAGAGAGAGAGAGAGAGAGAGAGATCAGAATTCTGTCATGGCAACAATTAACTTTGTAAATCTGGCTGCTTACAAGTGAAAGCTCTGCTTTTCCAAATGAAAGTAGCTACGTTCAAATTGGTTCCCCTCTCCAGCAGCAAAAGAAACTGATATGTAATGGCAGAGATCCAATGGCACCATTAACTTCCAACTCAAATGAAGAAGACTGACCAAAGCAGTTCCATTGATAAAAGGGGGCGGGTGATTTCATTCCCTGAACTCCCCCTCTGCACCGTTAAATTCTAATCCAAAAGGCTAGAAGACCCTCCCAGGCAGCTTTTGGGGGAACATGGAGTGCAGGGGCAAGAGAGGGATATGTCCATTGCATTAGGATCACTAGGACAATGGTGAATTTATCTCAGTAGTACTACACTACCATTCATAAAATCAAGATACCTATAAATAATGAATGTTTAAAACCTCATCCAATGAAATAATTATAAACATTAACACCAGAACGCCATAATAAAAGACTACAAATAATACAATGAAGCAGACCAGGGGGGGTTATAAAAATGGAAAAGCCTTGGGAAATAAAGGTCCTAATGTGGTATTTTTAGGAAGTGAATGCAGCATTCAAAACATTTGTAGAAATAAACCACCAGGAGCATACCAGTAGGACTAGTTCAAGCTTTAGAGATGGAATCTATGAAAATCCTAACAAGAATGTGCCAATAAATTTAGCAGGCCAATCAATAGCCTAGGAACTGGAAACATTCAATATACATTCCAATCTCAAAGAAAGGAAATACCAAAGTCTGCACAGGATCATTGCAAAAATTTCTCATGTAAGTAAAGTGGGCACTCAAGATTTTGCAACAAAGACTTTTACCCTATATGAAGCAAGAAATACCCAATGTGAGCTCTGCTTTTCCAAATGAAAGTAGCTACGTTCAAATTGGTTCCCCTCTCCAGCAGCAAAAGAAACTGATATGTAATGGCAGAGATCCAATGGCACCATTAACTTCCAACTCAAATGAAGAAGACTGACCAAAGCAGTTCCATTGATAAAAGGGGGCGGGTGATTTCATTCCCTGAACTCCCCCTCTGCACCGTTAAATTCTAATCCAAAAGGCTAGAAGACCCTCCCAGGCAGCTTTTGGGGGAACATGGAGTGCAGGGGCAAGAGAGGGATATGTCCATTGCATTAGGATCACTAGGACAATGGTGAATTTATCTCAGTAGTACTACACTACCATTCATAAAATCAAGATACCTATAAATAATGAATGTTTAAAACCTCATCCAATGAAATAATTATAAACATTAACACCAGAACGCCATAATAAAAGACTACAAATAATACAATGAAGCAGACCAGGGGGGGTTATAAAAATGGAAAAGCCTTGGGAAATAAAGGTCCTAATGTGGTATTTTTAGGAAGTGAATGCAGCATTCAAAACATTTGTAGAAATAAACCACCAGGAGCATACCAGTAGGACTAGTTCAAGCTTTAGAGATGGAATCTATGAAAATCCTAACAAGAATGTGCCAATAAATTTAGCAGGCCAATCAATAGCCTAGGAACTGGAAACATTCAATATACATTCCAATCTCAAAGAAAGGAAATACCAAAGTCTGCACAGGATCATTGCAAAAATTTCTCATGTAAGTAAAGTGGGCACTCAAGATTTTGCAACAAAGACTTTTACCCTATATGAAGCAAGAAATACCCAATGTGCAAGTTGGATTCAGGAACAGGAGGGGCACTACAGATCACTCTGCAACTATACATTGGGTATTAGACTGTACCAAAAAAAATCAGAAATAAAATCAGTTTGTGGTTTGCAAATTACAGCAAAGTCTTTCACTATGAGGATCATTAAAAACTATGGATTTTTAAAAAAACTGGTGCACTGTAACATTGACACATAGCCTATAGTTTCGATAAAAGGCTAACGTTAGGACAGAATATGGAGAGTTAGAATGGTTTCTCACAGAAGGGTATTCGATGAGAGTGTATTTTATCTCTGTATTCAATCTGTATGCAGAACATACTACAGAAAGCTGAATTAGATTCAGATGAGGGTGGAGTGAAAATTTGTGAAAGAAACAGCAATAATTTAAGATATGTAGATAACACCATATTACTGGCAGAAAGCAATAACAGCTTGAAATTCAATTTGTAACATCTGTGTAGGGCTGTTAATGATAGTAATTTTAGGGGTCACTAATACCTAAATAATAAGCAACTTGTTGGCACATAACAAAAAAGTAACATTTTACTATGTCTCTGAAAATAAGACAGGGTCTTGTATTCATTTTTGCTCCAAAAAACGCATTACAGTGGGGTCTTGACTTGAGAATTTAATCCGTATTGGAAGGCGGTTCTCAAGTCAAAAAGTTCTCAGGTCAAATCTGCATTTCCCATAGGAATGCATTGAAAACCATTTGATCCGTATCTGCTCTTTTCCGTCCATAGAAACTAATGGGAAGCTGCTATTCTGCCTTCGACCACTAGAGGGGGATATTTTGTTTCTTTTTTTGTATTTTGAGATAGATTAGAATAGTCACTGTGACAATTATGGTAACTAATTCTAGATGGTGATAGCTTGGAATTAGAATGGTAGCTAATAACTTATTAAAATTAACTGCCTAAGTTTCTGCATTTCCACTGGCCATACTAATTAGGAGAGATGGGAGATTACAGTCCAATACATATGGAGAGCAGTAGATTGTGAGTACTGGCATGGGAAATAGCCTTTGAGATATCCTAACTGCAAGCAATATCGGGTTTTATAGGGTAAAATCTGTGCCTTCTTCTAAAGCCAGAAAAAATGTAGACTTATTTATTTTATTTATTTATTTAACTTATATGCCACCCACTCTACCCAAAGGTCTCTGGGCGGCTTACTGCAATTAAAATACAATTAAATAATAAAACAATTAAAATAGATACTCTAAAAATTGCCATCAGGTCCCACAGTTGATATTATTTCCATTAAAAGCCTTATGGAACAGGAAGGTTTTGACCTGGTGCCAAAATGTCATCAGCGTTGGCACCAAACAAATCTCAGTCGGGAGGGCATTCCATAGTCTGGAGGCAGCTGCCGAAAAGGCCCTTTGTCTACAAGACGTCCCTCTTACCTCCTTGAGGGACGGTTTTTTCAAAAGGGCCCCTGGCTAGACCTTACCTGCCGGGTAGGCTCATATGGAAGGAGGCGGTCCTTCAGGTATCCAGGCCCCAAGCCATTTAGGGCTTTATATATCAAAACAAGCACTTTGAATTGGGCCAGGTCAGCAACTGGTAACCAATGTAATTATGCAGAATTGGCCTGATGTGTTCCCTAGATCTGTGATTGTCTCTCAGTGTTGCCAACATAGGTCCCAAGCAACCTATTAGCTAATTTGCTAACCAGCTGCCATATTTCGAACCAACTTAAGTTTCTCAATGCACTTTATAAGGTTACTATAAACTCTAGGAATCAAAGATCCTACATGGGCTTTCTGCCCAGAAAGCAAAGCCTGACAGTTTAGCCTTTAAGCCAGTACACAGTTTCCAGCATCCAACACTATCCACAAATCCCACTGAAAGAAGTAAACCTACCATGCATTAAACATAAATCCGCTCCACAGAACACATTAAAGCAACCATTATATTTAGGAGGAAAGCCACTAGGAAAAATGGCACTGTAATAAGTTATATAGAGGTAAGGAGCTCAAATGAATGTACAGCTTTTTGATTCAACTTCCTTCAGCTCCCCAAGTCTTCAAAAGGGCTATAGTTGTAACATCACCAGGTATTATACATCCATGCTTGTATATCACAACAATCTGATACCCATTTGCTTCCTCTTGTGGGTGGTGGAGTAGAATGGTGGGACAAACATATGTATCTATCATGAACCTGGCAGAAACTGGCACTCTGGTTACAAGCGGAATAAATAACCCACAGTTTCTCATGGGACTAGTTCCCTAGCTTGTCAGCAGAAAGACAAGCTAGAGTGCCGAGTCCTCCTGGGTTCTCATTTCATGCTAGAAAGCTCATTCCAAGTGGGAACAATCTCACCATTCTGCACTGGCATGCTGGCTCCTACCCAACAAGCTAGAATTTTGAAAATGCCTGCATGTCTTCAGCCAATGGTAGGTGCACACTTGACACCTTTACACAATAAAGGTAAAGGTTCCCTTTGACAATTAAGTCCAGTTGTGTCTGATTCTAGGGGCCGGTGCTCATCCCTGTTTGTTTGTCCATAGACATTTTCCGTGGTCACTTGGCCGGCATGGTTAGACACAGAACACTGTTACCTTCCCATCAAGGTGGTACCTACCTATCTACTTGTATCTGCATGCTTTCGAACTGCTAGGTTGGCAGGAGCTGGGACAAACAATGGGAGCTCACCCCTTCACACGGATTTGAATTGCTGGTGTTCCAATCAAGAAGCCCAGTGGCTCAGCGGTTTAAAGCTCAACCCTTCACACGGATTAAAATTGCCCGTCTTCTAATCAAGAAGCCCAGTGGCTCAGCGGTTTAACCCACAGCACCCCATAAATGCTCACCTTGTGCTCCAAATTAAGAAGCTTGAAGGTTCAAGGTAATTTATTCTTGATGCAACACCTGTCCAAATATTCCAACACTCCTTATTTTGAATCTTTTTCTTTTTTGTATCTATGAACCGGTATTACAGTGGTGCCTCATATAACGAGTACACCGTTTAACGACGAATCCTGGTATTACTCTCCTT